TCCCAAGGTAGATTCCTAGTTGGAGCAGGAGCTCTGAACAACAAAGGAAGGTCACTTTCTACTATACATGTGATCCCATGGATCTTTATGATGTTGAAATCTGTTACAGGCTGCTTTTTGTGCCAAAAACATAAAAAAGGAAAACATAATAGAAGTGTTCCTTATGTGTTTTAATAAAATATCTAATTTACATGTGAAATTCAGTGGGCAGTAGAGGTCTGATTCACTTGCAAAGGGCATGTACAATATTGTGTACATTTCCTATGAAATTTTCATAGAGATCTGCAGCTGGTTTATTGGGTACTCCAGTATTTAGTAAAATAAAAACAACTATTTTGTGTTGCAGCAGGAAGCTAAAAGACAGGACTTCAGGGAGCACCAAATAGACGCAAAATAGCTAGGCCATGCCCTTTCTACACAAGAGTGGACACTGCAAGTTTATGAATGTTTCATTAATGAAATACAAAAAGTTGCCATGTCTGTTTAGCTGATCTTCTCTTACAACTAAGTAAAAAATTGCCATGCCAAGAACAGCCTATTGGTTTCTTACATGTGACACTTCTCTTCCTTTATAGCCCAGCTATTTTCTTGGTTAAAGTATGCTCACTTAACACCCTGAAGAGGCTCAACCAGCATGAGGAAGCCCATATTGTAAAAATATTAACAAAAAAGTTTCTAACATAGCTGTTTCCCTTTAAAAATGAATGCATTCCTGTAATTTAATGAAAAGTAGAGTGCAAATGATGTAATTCAATTTCTTTCTAAAGGAGCATGCACTGGTGTGCCCAGGCCATGAGCCAATATCAGTTAGATCCCATGGAATGTGCATAGTGCAAATGCCTACTGGACTCAATTTCGGCATGCTCTACCTAGCTAGAGTCCTGGGTTAACACCTTCCACCAGAGTGGTTTGCTTGTGCCCTCTTCTTTTCACTATTGTGTGAAAACACAAGCCCTTACCTCTATTTGGCTGCATTTTCAAAGATGTAGATATAGTAATACCTAGCAAAAAGACATGATGTTACCGCAAGATGATGGATCAATCCTGAATGGAATAAATGAAAACACCATTCTTTAGTATTGGTGGAAGTAGGAAAACACCCCCAAAATTTCTATATTGGATGCCTAAATCTTCTGTAAATCAGAGCCAAATTGCCCATTTTATCAACAAGCTAGTCTACATAAGAGTGGCTCACCTTCCTTCTTTATCACAGATGTATTGTTTTGTGTAAATTGAATGTGAATTTTAAACTGTGACAGACTGTAAGACAACCTTCAAACTACTGTACCTCTGGAACATTAATCCTTGATCAGTTGCAAGCAGACCTTCCTTTCTTCCAGGTCTGCATTTGCTATTCTCTCAGTGTAGTTTGTCAAAAGCACAGCCAGATAATACACTAATAGTCCTTGTGTGCACTTGTGGTCGTCTGTATTTTAGATTGATGATGCATGAGAAGCCCTCACCTGTAGCCTACTGCCTGTTTAGTAAGTAGTTTTGTTTAAAATATATTTTTGAAAAACAATTAGGTGAAGACACTTGCTTAGTTTAAAATAACTTGCCAAATCTGACTAGTGTTAAAAGAAAAAATTCTGCCCAAGCAGAGTTTAGTGAATAACTTTTCTTCCTTAGACATATCGGAAGTGGGACAGTGGCTTCGTATGAAGCTAAAGAAGAATCATTTTAAGTCAGTGAAAACAAATGTTTTAACAAAAACAGGGAGTGGTTTTTAAAGTGCATTGTAAATGATGTTTCTTGTCCTCTCCTTTCAGACTTGCTGCTGTGTTAAGTTAGGGATATGCATTCTGAGGGCCACAACTCCCAAACACGTGGCAGGAGACAACCACTGTGTGCTCCCCATTTAGTTGTATGTGAAAGGGGTACAACTAGTAGAAGGGAGTGCAGGGCCCAGAATGGAAAATGTTGAGAATCATTGCTAGTTATTTTCTGTGTGTAGATACAATATTGCAATAGAACATGTGTTTGTTGTTCAGTTATGACATCAGCAGCTTTTATTAACACCACAGCTAAAAAGAAAGCCATCAACTGCAGTATTTTTCTTATAAGAGATTTTGGTGAAATTAAACATTTGTAATGTACTGCGTAGTAGGCATGAGTCATAGCCGGCAGTCTTCATCTGAACCTTTCCTTTTTCTCCAAACTTCAGGATTTCAGATAAAGTAGAATCCAGCTCTGAACCTTACTTGAAAAAAACAAACAAAAACAAAGCCACGCATGGTTTTGCACATTCCTAATTTCACATTCAATATAGCAATGATAAACACAGAGTCAAAAGACTTGCATCAGTCATGATTCTGGCCTTTCCAATCCCAGATGCTTTTTCAGGGAGAGGGAAGGGATGATGGGTTGCTGTGTTTTTCATTATGGAGATAAATATATATGTTTCCATTTACATTGAATGCATGTAGAAGCTGGCTTGTATTTTTTTCCCAAACAGCACACTACATTACTTCAGCAAACAAATTGATTAGGATACATTTTAAAATACTTTGGCCTTGACATATAAATTATATTTGGAAGCATTTTATTTTAGTCATTTATGCAGCCAAGTTTATCCATTTGAACTTCTGTGAGAATCAGAGAAATGTGTAAAAGTGTATCTTTAGTGTTCATAGACGGAAAACTGGCCAGTCTAGACACAGCTTTAGGGTACTGCTTTAAACTAGGACTAGATTTCTAGTAACTTATCATAGGGCTTGTCACTATATTCTTTCAGCAGGGTGCTTCCTAAAGGTCAGATCAGGTCCAGGCATTTACTGAAACCTCTGCTCTCCACTATGCAAGTATTCCACCACACTACTCCAGTCATAAGAGTCTCAGCTCTCCAGCTTGTTAGCCACCCAAGCACTCTCCTGTGTTGTAGTGTCTAGTCCCCTAACTGCTAAACACACAAATACTAGATCTGTTATTCCCAAATGGTGAGGATATCCACTACTTTGTATGATTCAACTCAGGATGAGCACCTTACTTAGTACTTGTACACTCCCTGGGGGAACAGTGTACTACAGTGTGCATTAAGAATTCATGTCCCTCTGCACGACTTCCCTCCAAATCTAACCTCTTCCATAAGTATAGCACCTTAGCCCACAAAAGTTCAATAACACTGTCTCCTACACAGGCTGTTTGTTGGCTTATGTACAATGACCGGTAGCTGTGCAATATGTTCTCTTCAAACACGTTATGAGGAAAGAGGTAATGGAGTTTTCCCCCTCGAAAACTTCAAATGAAGGGGAGGGGGAGAGGGGGAAGGAGGGGAGGTAGGGACTCAAATACCCAACCCTATACTAATCTTTGGGAAGAGTAAAGGAAACTGCATTATGGGAAAAGAAAGAAAAGACTGGGGCCATTTGGGTAGGCAAAGAAACTAGGAGATTATTTTTAAAGAGATAAAATTACTATATAAATCTGGAGAAGGAAGAATACATAGAAACACTCATGATAACTCAATATACAGAGGAATAAATCTTTTACAAGATTAGAACAGTCAATACATCTTTTACAAGGAAAAAACACAGATTAAAAGGCCAATTTCATATACCCAAGTAGTCTCCGAAAATAATGCAATATTTAAATAACAAATGAGTTTAAAATAAAGCAATTATTCATCATCATACTGCGGTGGACTCCTCTGACAACAATTTTGATTGTATATCTAGATAAACTGGCACAGGAAAGCCAGAAGTCTTTTAATACATTTTAAGTTGTTCTGAAGTAATAGCAATTTAATGTTTGTGTTTGATTTTTAATATATATTTATATACATGCACCTGTATTTATTTTTTGTGTGATGTTTGCTTTACTCTAATATTGTACCTTTTATAATCCTTTTCTCCTGTCTATAATACAGGTTTTGCTTGCCAGTATTTCAATGATCAGTTTCTAGGGGGTTGTAACCTGGTTTTGTAGCTGGTATATACCACAGGATTTGAACTCCCATTTTCATTAATCTTGTGACGTTTAGGGTCACCATGCCAAAACCTAAAACAACAGATTAAAAAGATGTTGCTTTGTAAGTTTCTAGTTTAACATTTAAAATTGAAGCTTATGTATAGTAACACTGCATTTTACAAACATAACTAAGCAACAAAAGGAAATAGAAATGAAAGGATGAAGGAAAACAGACAAATGTATTCAAATATTCACAGTTTACACATCTGGAATAAATGCACCTACTTTCTTGTTGCCTGTCTTCCTCTTGTTTCACCTTCCCTGCAGAGCTTTAGAATTCTGCAGGGTACCCAGCTCCCTGTCTTGAAGAAGCTTTTGACAGCTTCCATCTCCTCTCCTTGTACTGTTCTTATAAAGCATGCAAGAGCATATGGACTTTGCAAAATGGATTATAAAAAGCTTTTTCAACTGGCATATCTTTACGTACCTATAGTTTAATATTACAACAAGCTTTTAAAAAAAAGCTAACAAACACTCTGGAAAAAGGAAGACACTATATGATTTCAATAAAAATAATTTATAAAGAGCCACAACTTAATGGTTTAGCTGAATGCCTTTCAAAACTTACAAAACAAAAGGGCTACATCTGCACTGGAAAGATTTTGTGCAAATACTTTTAACGCAAGAGTTTTTGCATTAAAGTATTTGCACAAGAGAGCATCTACACTGGCATGTGCTTTTGCGCAAGACATGTGCTTTTGTGCAAAAGCATCTGTGCCAGTGTAGACGCTCTCTTGCACAAGAAAGCTCCGATGGCCATTTTAGCCATTGGGCTTTCTTGCGCAATAAATTTATGTTCCCTGTCTACACAGACCTCTTGCACAAGAACACTTGCGCAAGACGGCTTGTTCATCTTGAGCGGGAGCATCCGTTCTTGTGCAAGCAGCACTGATTTCTTACATTAAAACGTCAAAGTTCTTGTGCAAGAACTCGTAGCCAGTGTAAACAGGTGGGCAAGTCTTTGCGCAAAAGCAGCCACTTTTGCGCAAAATCTTGCCAATGTAGACACAGCCAAGGAGTGTATACCTGGAAAGTATTCACATTTTGTTTAGTTTTAAAAATACTTTAAATTGTGTAATATCAGGGGTTGTTAAAATAGGCTTTATAAAGAAGTTCTAGTGGTATCTGTGCCTATGCAACTGCTGCTGTTAAACTAGTCATGGGAATCTTCAATAACTTGCAATTTAAGGACACAACAAGTGTCTTCATTTAGAAAAAAACACAAAACTGGGAGATAATCTGCAATAAAACTGACATCTGAACAAAATTAAATTAACTCACTCCCCTGTAATCTGAACCCTCTTCTAAACAACACTGAACACACAAACTCTGCTACTTGAACTGAGATAAACTGCAGCCTCCTGCTTGCCCCCTGAAGCTTCAGAGAGAGGAACAGAACGTGAGCTGCCAAGAGAGATCTTCATTTCATGTCAATTTGAAAGTTGGTAAACCAGCCAAGGTCAGTGAAGAGTTCTGAAAGATTGATTTTTCTAGTTACTTCTCTCACTAACACCAAAAATAATAAATGTAATATTTTTTGCTCCTTGAATTCTTCTTCTGCATACACAGTACTTAGCAGTTTGAGTCAGATAGGAGAACAAAGGCAGTGAAGTTACACTATAGGGTTGCCAACTTTTTAACAGCACAAAACCAAACACCCTTACTCTGCCTCCACTCATTCTCTGAGGCCTTGTCCCTACTCACTGCATCCGCTTTTTCTCCCTTGCTAGTTTTCCCTCACTCATTCACTTGGGCAGGGGTTGAAGCATGGGAATTAATGAGAGCTCTGTCCAGCGGGAGGAAGCTTTGGAGAGATGCCAGAAATTAGAGGTTCAATGTGCAGGAGTGGTCTCAGTGCAAATGTTTGGGGTGCAGGAGCAAGTATGGGCTCTAGATGGGGGCTTGGGCTGTGACGTGGAGCTAGACATGACAGATTTGAAGTGCAGGAAGAGGTTCAGGGGTGGGGCAGAAGATAGGATACAGGTGGGAGAGTGGGATGAACGCTCCAGGAGGGGCTTTAGGCTGCAGCAAAGGTTTGTGGTAAAGGATGGGTGAGGAATGCAGACAGTGGAAAGGAATTAGGACATGGGAGGGGGTTTGACCTCTGCAAGGAATTTGGGGACAGAAAAGGGTTTGATGTGTGGGCTCTGATCAGCACTTACTGTCTGGTATCTTCTCTCAAGCACCTGAGGTGTCTCTTTCACCTGAGCCCTGCACCCACTGCAAGAGGGATGTCTGTGATTCCCCTCAGCTGTGCACTCAACTCTTACACTGACTTTGCACTCCACTTTCTAAACTTGCTTCAGGGTTGGGCCTCAAAGGACTAAACAGTGGAGCAGACAGACCATGGTAAGAGCCACTGGGAAGCTATGAATCCTCCCTCTACTCTGGATGAGGAGGTGTCCTGGGGACAGGGATATGGGCTGGGGACTGTGGATCTGTGGCTCCCCACAGTTGTCTGGGTTCCCCCCCAAGCTGTTTCTACTTGGATTGACCTCCAGTTTTCAGCCTGGCTGGGGAGGCTGAGCCTTGGGGAGAACAGAGGCAGAAAGCTGGATGGGTCATAATGCTTTGGACCCCCTGTTCTGTCATCCCTGCAGCCTGATCATTTACAGAATCTCTTGCTCCCTGATCACTTTCACCCACTCAGCCTTCGGCCACAGAGCCATTCTGGGGACTCCAATGCTACCCAACCAGTGCTATTTCTTGATGCTTAGCCCCTGAAAGAGGAGAAAAGTGGGGAAAAACCTTCAGGAGGATGGAGTTTTCCAAACAAGTCAATGGGTGAAAACTATCTTATGGAAGTCAATGAGAGTTCTCCCATTAACTTCAGTGGGGCTAAGATTTCACTCCATATTTAGGATATTATGCCAAAATAGAACAAATATTATGTGAAGCCCCCAAAACTACTAGAAGTTGTTAGGAGTGTACTGATGGGACAACACACCTTGAGACTGACTATTGCAATGTGAGATGCTCAGTGTCAGAGGGGAAGACAGGGTAACAGCTAGTATATAACCACTGGAATTCTTGGTTCATGGACCTGTATTCAGACCACACACAGTCGATATTTATCTTATATTTAGAAAAACCAGCCTCTCTCTCTTTATTTCTTCCTTAAACTATGTCTACATTGGGAGAGAGAGGGTCCCCAAAAAAAACCCTCCACATCCATGGAACGCATTTGTACTTCTATTTTTTTTGTAGAAGTCTAAATGTGGTCTTTCAGAAACCCCTGTATTCCTCCTTCCCTGAGGAAGAAGCTTCCAACAGAGATATTTTTCCAACATTTGGCCCTGTATAGATGGGCCAATGTCAGAAAAGCCTCTTCCAACAAAATAATTGGAAAAAGATACGCAAAATGTGGATTGCATTTTGTGTAGCTTTTTCCATCAAAACCTTGTAGACTAGACCTATGAAAAACAACTGATTCTACTAAAAAAAGCTGATTTGACTACTACGATTTTCTAGTTATAATGTGGATGATCAGGTGCTGTGTTGCTGTCTTATTTGAGAACAATTACACACATGGCACTGAAAACATTGTCCACTGTGTAACAGTCACAGGATTAACAAAGTAATTGGGGAGAATATGAAGAGACAAAGAAGGAAACAAGACAGCTTAAAAGGGGCTCAAAGAATCTTCAGAAGCAGGGCTAGAAAGACATATCCACATTGGTCTGTTTTTCCTATAAACTGTATTGCACAGTGTTAACGTATTAAAGGAAAAGAAATATCCAATATGTGTTTGTGATTGAAAAACCATGTGAAAAAATGAGAAAGTGGAGTTCACCATGTCACGGGGCACTTTCATTCCTACCATGTACCCTAACAATTTTACCTGCTGCCAGGAGAAGATTTTCTTTCCTGGGAATGCAAACAGTGTTCAGAAGACAAAGGATCCAGAGACTTAAAAATATGCTTGATAGTTTACCATCCACTCTGTTCTAAAGTACATGACATTCATTTTTCAGTTTTGCTGAAATAAAATCAAACTAAAATGATTCACTGGAAGAGTGCAAATTAAAGTAATATTATTGGGAGCAAGGACTCCCTAATTTGTGCTGCTTATTGATTGGTTGAGAAAAAAGGTACATGGATTCTGTTGCCATAGAAACTGCATTATGAACGTATCAAGTGGGCTTGTAGGAATGTGCCCTAATCATGATTTAACCCAGCAGTTTCCAACCTTCTTGAGATCGGAAACAATTTTGACAATTCAGGAAGACTTAGGGACCCAAAGCAAATAAAAAATGGTGTGAAAGAAGGACGGCAGAGGCACCTGAGGAGACACTGGGTGCCCCTTTTGAAATGAAATAGTGACCCATATTTGAGTCCCGATCCGGAAGGTTGGGAAATGCAGATTAAACCTATAATTTCACAAAAAGAGCACATATTGGAGTGTTCTTTATTACTCTGCCTCTGCTTACGCACAGATTTTCTCCAGTTAATATTTTCCCCTCCAGAATGTAGAATTTCTGGTATTCTTTATGAAACAAAATGAACCCATTCTCAGAAACACAAAATGAAAAAGACATTCTTTTGAGCTTTAATATGTATCATGTTTTTTAACTATAAGCACCATCTGTTGTATTACTAACATTAAAGGAGAATACATTACTCTTAAAAATACTCTGTCATTTTCTTCAGGGTGAATCGTTTACGCCCTGATTTATGGTCCATGCAACCTAACTGAGCTCAGTAGAGTTGTCTAGGGTATAATTCAGGACAACTAGACTGTGTCTAAACGCGTGGCTTCTTCCACAACAAACATGAAAGACCAAAAAAACAGCAAAAGAGAAAAGAAACAAAGAAAAAGAGAAAAAGAAAAAGAAAAAACAGGTACACCTGTAAAATACACAAAGGCTTCAGGGGAAATAGAGAGGGAAGTGGGTTGCTGACTAACGGCCAGCCACATGCACAAAAGAGAGAAAAGGAGTGGTATGTGGCATTTCTACTAACTACCCGACCCTATGGACAGACGAATAATGGCCAGCAGAGAGAAACGAGGGGAAGGAAGTGGCCAATCTGGTGAAAAAAAGAAGAGCTCAGGGGCCAGAGGTGGTGGCGGAGAGGTAGAGAGGGGCAGCTACATAATGCAGAAAGGGCGTGAGGGGAAGGAGGGAGAGGGGGAAAAGAAGGCAACAATTCCATCCAAAGGGGCTCCGGAGTGAAAGAGGGTTAAAGCGGAGACAGAGAAAAGGAAAAGAAAGAAAGGCCTGAGGGGAAGCAGAGAAGGAGGTGAGTTGCTGCCTGAGGGGAAGCCACGTGTACAGGAGGGAGAAAAGGGGTGTTTACATGGGGTTCCTACCAAATACAGG